TTCATTTAAGTCATAAGAGGATATTACTATGGATATTGTGTCAAGTCATCACAAATTCTAAGAAAGCTTGATTTATTTATAGTGTGTGATATCATTTTTTTTTGGGTAAATTTTCATTGTATACACTGCCATAAATTGCTAGTTTATCTCATATTATTAAACTGTACTTAATTGAGGTTATTCAATTTCCATCTACCTGAGATAACTAATTTTGATGGGGATGCAAAATTCATGAAGTATTCTTAGAAAAAGTTTTGGAATGAAATGAGAACATTTAAATTTTCAATTGCTTTTAATGTACAAACCAATGTGCTATAGGATTTTGAGTGATATCATTGTGTTGTTCGATAAAAGATGATGCATTTAGTTGGGATTGGATATTGCCTTTTAAGTTTGCATACACTTTTTTGGTCATTAGTCTATTTGAGATCACCATAGGGTTTCATTTTATTGAACATATAGATTTTGTTGAGATTTCTATCGAGCTTAGGCCTATTTCATGTGCACAATCATTCACTTAAGATATGCATAATTATTAGTATCTATGAAATTTATAAATTTGCAGGATGTGCATGGATTTTAAGCTAGGAGATAAACTAATGATGTTTTTGAATTTAGAATGACTTCCTAAAGAGTTTTTAAGAAATGAAATCAAGCATAACATTTTCAAATTTTGCAGTGCATTAGAATTACTGCCTACATGTTATAAATTCCTAGAAAATATTGGATTAATTTAGCTTTTTGTCCAATTAACTTATTACATGAGACGGTTGATAAGTTCTTGTAAAAGGGAAAAAAAAAAGCAGAAAAAAAAGAAAAAAAAGTTCTTAACGCTATGAAATCGCTTTTAATAATTTGTTAGAGAAATTTACATAAGTAGTTCTTAAGGCTGTCTATGATGATATAATTGTATCTACTATTCTTTGCAAACTCCAATAATCTCTTATGTGTTGATGCAACGAGCCTTCCTGGGATGACTCAGTGGTTCACTTTGTAGGAAGCATAATGCTTACACCCTAATTTGCTTAATGAATATCAAATTTATTTTGTCAGAGTCAAATTTACCTAAGCTGGGCAAATTTTTTGGATGTCTACATGTTTTTGCCCAGTGAAAACATCAAAGCAAACTTTGTCAAGTTTATTTTTATAGTTATATATTGTTTTATATTATTATTTTTTAATTAAGTTATTTTGTGCATGCCTATGATGAGTGACTGTAAGAAAGGGATGTCCCCTTACTTTTGCTATTGAATTATATGGATTTGCTTAGAATATGGATGGCTTGGGTCAAGTGTGATTAAAATAAAATACAAATTCTCACTGGAAACAAAATTTCACCTTTATTGAAGCCATTTTTAGGGACACTAACTATTTCCCAAGTCTTGCATCCCATATACAAGTTAAAGGTCTGTCGGGGACAATCTTGTCTTTAGTTATCATTATTTGAAGTGGCGCTTTTTTGTTTTGATGCATTGTTTTAGGTGGTGTTGTTTCTAGGGAGTTTATTTTCCACGTGCATCACAAACTATTTTCATTTTCCTCACCATTTGAGTGGTGAAGCCTTTTTATTGCATGATTTTTAATTTGGTAAAGTGTCGAAATTGTTGCTTAACTATTTACACAGTCATTTTAGTTTTAGAGCCTATAAAAATGTAAAATTAATATCCATAATCTTTAAATTGGTCTGAAATAATCTCCACATGATACGATTTCGGCACATATTAAAGTCTTGGGACTAAATTGTACTTTATAGACTATGGTCTGAAATGACCCCTTACAAAGTATCATTGGACTATTTTGACACTTTTCTCATTTTTAATTTATCCCTATCATATTTTGAATTTTGTGACCACTTCATCCCATTGTTCAATCCAGAGAATTTTGCATTTTTTTCTTTATCATTTTATGCTGCAAAACCTTTTGTGCTTTGTTGATAAGTCTTTAAATGTATTATTTGAGGCATCCATAATGTTAGTTTTTTTATTTAATAAAATTCTTGAATTTTCTCTTATGATCCTGTGTACCATTTAGATGTTGGATTCCTTCTAGTGCTGCACAAATGCAAGAGATAATTTTTCGAGGAAAAAATATCTCCTTGTATTAATATAAGGCCTGAATTTTCTAGTCTACAATGACTTATTTCCTTTAATTTTTTTTCTTTTAAATACTTTGTTATTGGCCTTGTTAGGGTTTCTGATTTTATTCAGATTTGCTCTATATTGATTTAATTTATTTGATCATTGTATTATCTTGTGGTTTCAATTTAAAATATTTTTGAGATTACACATATTAAAACTTTTTTTTTTTTCGCATTGTCAATTGTTATTTCATAAATTTTAATTACTTTTTATGTGTTTTATATTCATTAAATTATTTTAGCTGTATTATGAACATTAAATCATTAAGCATGATAAACTAGGGTGGCTTTTGGCTACAGTTTCAATTTACCTTAAATGGGATTTATGTAATCCGATAAATTCAGATTAATTAAATGACCAGAGGAGGTCTCGCGATCAGATTTACTAAATCTGGATTTACGTCGGACAGGTGACAGAAGACGAGAAAAAAAACGACGGAACACGATAATATTCGATTTAACGGAGCATTGGATTTACTTTTCATTTTTTTGGTGTTTGGCTGGATCTAAATTAAATCCATGGCTAAATCCTATTATAGGTATTGTACCAAACACCCCCTAGGTTTAGTGATAGAAATTGGTAGAGTATGATGTTCGTGCATGGTAGCTTGTTTTTCTAATTTTCATGTAAGGTGTTACATTAAAATATTTTGAATACAAACTAAAGCCTAGATGAGAATGGTCTGCAAATTCGATTTTTAATTGGAAACCAATCTTAGTATTTATGCCAAAAATTCTAAAAATGAAGCTCGAATTGGTGCTTGCTATTGTCACATTGTTTCTTAAAAGTGACTCAGTATGGTTTAAAATTGATGATGATGGGACATGACTAAGTTTGGCTTTAACTTAATTTTGGTCATATGCATGCAAAGCTTGGTTAAGACACCACTTACAATTGAGTTTCTATGATTGGACCCAATTGCCATGGAATTAGAAAAGGGAATAGCGTAAAGTTAAGGATTTGACTTTACATAGGAAGGCTAAAGAGTTTAATATATCAGAAAAAATAATAAATTATCAAGTGTAAACAGAAAAAGGGAAAAACCTTGAGGGCATCAAAGAAGGTGATAAGCGATTTTATGTTGAAAAGGCGAATAATATGAATGGAGTTAAGATGTTAGTGGTTAGAGGATGGTGTTCAGTATTGATGGGTGATTTTAGAATTTTTTTTGCACTGACATGATGAGTTTGTTTGTGATGGCTCATGGATTACTTTATTAGAAGAACAAAGTAGAATGCCCTATTTACTTAATGAATACCAAATTCAAAAATTATCTCAGTCAAATTTTTTGAAGTCATGTAGAATTTGATGTTTATTTGGGTGTTTATATTTGACAGAAATGCTAAACAAATAAATGATTTAAGAAGTTTAGTTTAGTTTCATTGTTTGGTAAGTATGTTATTTAATATTTTACAGTTCCCATTTCATTATTCGGACATGCTATGATGAATTGCTACGAAAAAAAGAATTTTAGGATGCGTTCTTTATTAATTTGATTCTCTAATGCCAGATTGTTTTGTATGGTTTGGCATTGACTCTGGCTAGTTCGGTCCATAGCTGATTCAAAGTTTAAATGCTACGGTTCAAGCTTTCTATTTGCTATTTTGTACTTCACGCTAATTTCCCTGGCCTTTCATGCATGAACTAAGCATGATTTCATGCTATTTAACTTTTGATTTGCGGTTTCAAAGTTGTTGTTCACGTTATCCTATATCTAATCTCAAGAATCAAATTGAGCCGATTCTTTGCTAATCATATCTACTAACTCAGATGAGAAATCTATAAATAGATAGCCAAGGCTTGTAGTTTTATTAAGTCTTTTATAGTATTTTTTTGCTTTTTAACTTTCAATCTTGTGAGTGCTTGCTTGGATGATAATTCCTTTTTCTAGTGCAAGGGTTTTTGAATTTTCTTCACTTTCGTGTTTTCTTTCTTTAATATAGTTTCTTTTGAACTTTGTTTGTGTTGCAAACTTTATGATTTTGGATTAAGTGAAGTTGTAAGTTACACGTTTGTTGGTTTTTTTTTTTTTTTGGTGTAAATTTCTTTGGATTAATTTATTGTTTTATTATTTTTTCATTTTTGGATTTTGCATACTTTCAAGTTTATGCCTTAAGAATGCAAATTTGTATGCAATTCATGGTGTTTTATTTGTGAATCCTTTATTTATTTTGCATGATTTGTATTCATAGCATCTTGCAAGTTGCACTGGAAACCTTAAACTGTTAAAGCATGTTGCATTGAATCTTTCTTGGTTTAGTATAATTTTCCATAGTCTGCAATGTGACTTGTTCCCATTGGTAATTTCTAATTAGGGGTGTAAATGAGCTGAGCACAAGTCAACCCAATGCTTGTTTTTGTTCTACTCCAAAAAAAAATAATAATCATTAGAAATCGGCTCTAGCTCAAAATGGTTTAAATAATATGTTCGTGTTTAGCTCGATTTGAACATTTGTTCGTTTTAGCTCGACTTCGGCTTGAATTTAGCTTGAATGTTTTAAAAATAATAATTTTAAATATTCTTAAAAGAAACACAAAAATAATATAAATGAATATTATAATAAATACTTATTTTTAGTTACTTTTTGAATTCAAGGCTAAAACAAGCAAAGCACGAATAAGCAAATGTTTGTTTTTATTTGATTCGTTTATAAATCGAGCTCAAAAACATTATTCATATTCATATTCATATTCAAGAATGTTGTTTATTGAACGAATAGAACACGAGCTATGATGCAAGCCGAACAGGAGTTGTTCGTGAATGATAAACTTTTTTGACAGCCCTAGTTCTAAGAAGTTAGTCTTTCTGCTTGCCACAACTTTTGTGACTAATTTAATGTAACCCTAATTCTCTCTCTGCAGTGGTCAAATTGTTAACATTGAAGTCGTTGATGGGGGAATGATATGCTCGAGTGGTGTTTTCTTGGAAGCAATGGGTGACAAAAATGATGACTGCTACATAGTCAATGCTGCAGTGTATGTTGGTTATTGATAAGTGATTATAATCTTTTTTTTTTATTCATCTCCCTTCTGTTGTTATCCTAAGAAGTCAATGAAGGGACAAGTATGTTCTCTTTCCTCCTATACATTCCTTACATAATGGCTGAATTCTTCTTTTAAAACTGTTGGTTTACCGTGAACTTATTCTTCATGTTGACAAAGGAGATAACTGTCTTCTGTACATATTCTTTACTAAGTTAAACAATATCACCGCGTGTAATTAAAGTTTTAATCACGGGCTTTTGTTTATGTCCCTCAAATTTTCCTGTAGTGTGGCCATTGTTTGCATATTTTTGTAATATAAAACCCAGCAGGATGTGTAATTATCTTCTGTCAAATGCGCAGGGTAGAACCGTTTATTTTACTTTAAGAGAGAAGAATTACGCTGTAAAATCTTCTAATTAGGTGAGACGGCACCTAATGAATATGGTGTACCCCTTGCATGATCCTGCTGCTAATCTTGGGTATTTACCATTAGTTCAAAATAGTCCTCCAACTATCAGCAAGTGAAGAGTTTAGTCCCCCAGAGTTTTAAATTGGTTCACTTTCACCCTAGACTATTAAACTTTATTATATAATAAAGAAATACTTTATCACATGTCAAAATAGAGTAATGAAAAAATAAAATTTCATTTCAAATTCTTTTTCCAAATTACCCTCTAAGTTAATGGTTAGTATTATCTTTAATCACAAAATTTGATCTAGGGACTAATTTAGATCAATTTTTAATAGTTTGGGACTAAAGTGGAGCACTTTAAAAATTTGAAACTAAATTAGTTACTTGTTGATAGTCGGAGGATTATTTTAGACTTTTGCTCGTAGGTTATTATAGGGTTCATCTCTGAATTCAACTTCTCATAGTTGTGATTTATTTGCAGGAATTTGAATCAGGACCTTTAGTTCATTATAAAGGAAACATTTGTGGGAGAGTGATAGAGAGTAAGGGAGGCAGGGAGGGAGAGAGGGAGCGAAAGTGAGGGAGAAAGTGCGAGGGATATAGGGTTCATCTCCGAAGTCAACTTTTCGTAGTTGTGATTTATTTCCAGGAATTTTAATCAGGACCCTTAGTCCATAATAAAGGAAACATTCGAGGAAGGGTTATTTATTTATTTTACCTTAAAATCAAAGAAAAAAAATGGTAAAATTGCTGCACCTAACGAAAAAATTAACAGTTAGGAAAAACAGTGATTTACGTGCTGGTGTTAATGTTTTACCTGTTCTAGTAAATCTGAGGGATGTGATTTATAAAGGAGCTATAGCAGACTGTTCTGAAGCAGCGTATCCATTCAAAGGGAAGCTTCTTAACCACAGTCAACATGCTTTAATTTCCAGTCGTAATTAATCTTTAGAATGTAAATTTAGGTTGCATTAACCAGCGGTTAATGACAAAACTCTAAGAAAAATTATGTTAGGTTTATACACTTCTAAAGAGAAAGAGGGATCTCTGCTGCCGGCTTACATGCTGCATCTCTGCAGTCTGCAGTCTGCAGTTTGCAACCTTTAATGTTCATCGACTGCCCTTCCAAAGAAGTATTTTATACTTGAGGCATTTACATGCATACCACACAATTCTTATATATTTACATGTCTAAAACCTAAACAATCATATTTACATGCGTACCACTCAAATCCTTAACATCACATAACAACATCAATACCTTTTTAAAAGTGAAATATACTTTTTCATGCAAAGGTTTATGATACCAATATATTATAAATGTAAATATTAAACTTTGGGTGTTAGATATATAATACATAAGAATGGCATGGTATGTTTTTAAATTTCTCTTTGTACGTAAAATAAATAAACAGAATTGTTTTAAAATAACAAAGCTTTTATTTGAGACTTTTTGAATAAAGTGCACAATTTACTCCACCTCCTTTGGACATAACATTATTCTGAATACAATGGCTTTAGAAGTCATTGGCTTTCCAATCCCAGGAATCTTCTAGGACAGAAGATCTGACCACTAAAGCAAAAATACATGATTTAAAATATCAAGCAAATAAACAACCAGAACAAGAGCAACATATTTTTTCTTCATCATCTTCTATACTTCTTCCATGAATCTTTCTTAAATTTATAATTCTCTTTAGGTCATGATATTAGAGCTGCATACAGTAACCTATTCCACGTATCCGGAAGCCCTGCAATACACCAATGGCTGCAGTCCATTCCCGGGTGGCCTCCGCTGTATGCCGATGGGTGAGCATCTTTTCTTAGCTGTGATAGCAGAGTGATATCGAGCAGATGGACCGGCTTGCTCATGGTACTCAACACGTTTGTTACCACTCCTTCTTCAGGTAGAGAACCCCCAAGGTACGTCGATCCGATTACTGGTTGTGTTTGCCTTCCACAATCCTTGACTCCAGGTTCTCCCCAATCCCAACCTCTGATTTCTCATAGAGTTTTAGCAGGTAACCAAATATATTTGTTTGCTCTTTTCAAAATGTTACTCAAACCAAAATGTATTTTAGAGCTGTGTAATTTGGGTTAAAGTGAGGGTTTTATTTGTCATGAGATTTAGAGAGTTTCCGATTAGCATAGCTCAAAAAATTCTTACGCATTTGATCTGTGGTTTGCTTGATATTATCCTATTCTGATATTAATACAACATTAATACAGATTGATAGAACAAAAATACTTGCTTAGGGTGCTAGAAGAGACTCATAGATTACTTGTTCAAGGGGCTGAAACCAGATTAATTTTTTTATTTTCTTTATTTAATAAATATATTTCATGATTTCAAAAAAGGGACATTCACATACACACCACTCAATTCTTATGTATTTACATATCTAACACCTAAACTTTACTTTTTGCAGTTATACCACCCAAAAATTTCATTTCCCATAAAAAATACCACTATTTTAACTTTTATAAGGTTAAATACACCTTTTCATGCTTAGGTAAGGTTCCATATTTGCAAAAATTGAAATTTAGGTGTTAGATATGTAAATAATTGAGAATTGAGTGTATGCATGTAAAACTTTCAATTCCTATGTATTTACATATCTAACACTTATAACTTTACTTTTCTATATTAATACAACTCAAATCTTTTATATCGCATCAAAAATATCATAAATATAATTTTAAAAAGTGAAATACACCTTTTCATGCCTAGATAAGTTGGCATGTATGAAAAATTTGAAGTTTGGGTGTTGGATATTTAAATACATAGGACTGGAGTGGTATGTATGTAAATCTTTTTAGTTTTTTTTGGGTTGAACGAACGTCATTGCAAACTCATACAACACATGTGCACGGCTTCGAACCTGAGGGCTGTAGGTTAGAAGCCAAAGCTATTAACCACCAGGTCAAGGTGGGCTGCATGCTCATGGATTATGTTTAGTCGGGATTTTTTTTTTTGAAGTTTTATTTATTTATTTATTTATTTATTTTTGCATTTATCATTTAAAAGCCCCAGAATTATACCTCATAGTACTGGCACTCGTTCCAACGTTCTAGTTTAATAAAATAATGCTACAAACACCACTTACTGGTAATGCGTTGGAGAGATACCCTGGTAGAAGACCCTTTTAGTGTTGGCATCAACGCTGGAATCCACCCACCTCGCCCATGTAGTTAGCCCCTTGGCAAAGGCTTCAAGTCTGTCCATATCCCTCAAAATCTTGTCCCCATACTGGATGTAATCCCAACTGTAGAACACAATCAGTCAGTCATTAGCTTCGATTTATCAGAAGCGCATGGAAGAGAAAAGTGTCAAAATGGCCCCCCTACTTTTTTTTGGGGTACATTTTAGTCCTAGATTCTATAAAAGTGTCAATTTAGTCCCTGAATTTTTTAACACAGAGGACTATTTTAAACCCCATTGAACGAGTTTGAGGATTAATTTTACACTTTTATATACAGTGGGACTAAAATTGCCCCCACATAAATATTCATAGGACTATTTTGACAGTTTACTCATAGGGAAACCCTAGAAAGAACTGTGGCAGCAGCATGATTACCCTTGGCTAGCTGCTCCATTGTGGATCCACCAGTGCCATGTGTTGAAGATGAGCAGGTCTGCACCGAGCCATATGTTGCCGCTCGATATCGAGTCGAGTTTGAGGATGTGGCCGATGGATTCTGTGATGACATCAACTAGATACGGTGTTCGGTAATACATCACCGACACATTGTAGTCCTACAGATGAAATTCATGGGGCCATTAGCGCCCAACTAGCAGTAGCAGTTGATGGGTTATTTTTTTGCTTTAATTGTTTTATTGGGCATTTACATAAATACCACACATTTCTTATGTATTTACATATCTAACACCTGAACTTCTATATTTCCATTCATAATACTCTCAAAATTTTAGCATTGCATCATAAAATATCATTTTGTTAATTTTTTAAAGCGATGTATTTTTTCATTCATAGGTTCATGAAACCAAAATGCTATAAGTGTAAATATCAAATGTTAGGTATTAGATATTTAAAGTTCCCTTCTTTGATTTAGTATTACCACTTGCTTCAATCTCCCAATCACCTATGCGTTGTATGGATTGCGTGGCCTTTTGCAATAGTTGCATGAGGTGGCCATGTGCTTGGGGGGGTTATTCATTACTTAGAAGCTCTTGAAGTGTATGGACAAAAAAGAATACAGCGAAAGGATAGGGGGAGCAGGTCAATTCGTGATTGTTGCATTATTTTTCTCTTAATTATAAATCTGTCTGAAATGGGGGCTTATTTTATTAAATGTCTTTATAGTTGATAGATTTTATTTAAAAGTAACTAATGTAGGTGTTATTTGAATGATTAGATTGATAGATGTTAGGTTTACAGCTGGAGCTGATATTCCATATTTTTTTTAATTTAAGGTTAGTAGTAGAATTTCTTGTGAACATAATAATGATGTTATGGTTGGGATTGGCTAATTTTTCAGTGCATCATAATGATTGGGGAGGATTTTAATCAATCATTGAGGCGTATTAAATAAGTTATTCTTTTTATGAGTTTCTTCTAATGTTTATTTGGTAGGATATTGATTATAGAGGCCGACAAATAAATAAGAAAGCATCAGGAGGAAAGAAGAGGAATATCTGTTACTTGGATTTTCTTTCTTTTTGAACATGAGTAGTAAGGGTGTGAATGAGCTGAGTTAAATTCGAGTCAGTTTAAGTTTGAGCTTGTGTTTTTGATTGAGCATGAACCAAGTTTGATTCGTATTCTAGTCCAAATAGTTCATTTAATATGAAGGAGAATGCTATTTCAATTTTAGCAATTGTAATACAGGGATAGAAAGAATTAGTAATTAGAGAAGGTAAACTAATAAAAAAAAAGTTGAGAAAAGGGAGAGATTTTTAATCATTTTTAAAATTTAGTACTGAAATCCTTGGGACTTATTTTTGGTGATTTACATATAGAACATTCAAAATCTTATCGGTAATATATTTTAAAACCCAAGCTTCACTATTTATAAAGTATGACACTCTAAAATGTAAGTAAGAATAAAAATAAAACCCTCCATTCAATCTCGTCACCAAGCTGCTAGTTCCATCGCCATCTAGTTTCTTCATCCTTCACATACCCCTAACAAAGTGACTCAAGCAGCTTCCTCAATGGTCTGTCGGCCCTCCACATGGCCAATTACTAACATAAATTTCAACTACGGCCTCTATGACAAACAAGATGACACTACAACCATCGTTTATAACATTCATGATGGACTGTTGCCTCCACAACAATCGACTACGGCCTTTACAACCCATTACGACCGTTATTTCTATGTACCAATGTACATAAAATTTGTGATAACATCTTACCTAACTTAGGAAAAGAGTGTGTGTACTCATTATTACATGGTGGATTATTTCAACTGGGTTATACCCAGTGGTTTTTTCCTCTTTATATGATTTTTCATGTAGAAATTTATGGTCTCTCTACCTATCACTTTAATTACTTGATTGTGTGTTGAATTTTCATGCATGTCTCTTAATCAATGAATTCTTGTTGCGACTTGTCCTGTGAATCCTCTTCCCCTTCGTCTTTCACTTGCAATTGATCCCATTTGGCAAAGTTTCATTATGACTCTCTCGTTTATTCGTTCTTCACATGTCACTGATTCCGTTGTTGCCCATCCCACCAATATTTTATCATGAATTTCTCTTCCAGTGACGTTTGATGAGACTTATAACAGGTTGGCAAGTCTTTTAACTGAAGTCAACGTACTGCTATCTTGTGTAAATGGTAAAGTTTGGGTGTTAAATATTTCATTGATTTAATTTTTAGTCGTATGTAAATCCCTCAATTATTTCTTTAAAGGAGCATTTACTTACATGCGCCAGTATCTATCTATCTACATACCTAACACGGAAACTTTCATATTTAGACGAATACCACTCGTATGTTCAATATTACATTGAACATACCACTATTATTAACTTTTTAACTTGTGTTTAATATGTAAATTTAGATATTATATATGTAGGTCCATAAAAATGGTGTGGTGTATATGCAAAATTTCCCTTTTTTAAATTAGTCAGTTTAAAGGCCATTGAATGCAGAGAGGTCCAGCTTAAATTTAGATCCTTATTGAGAAGGAATCATTTATTGAGCTGAATATAAGCTGGCACACCATTAGGTAGGTGATTGCTTTTGTAAGGTGGAAGCATATGGGGCCTTTGCCAGATCACGGGAATTGCTTATCCCTTAACTGCTCATCTCCTATTCCCTCAAATTTACCATTTTCTTACCTTGTGATTTTGTGCTGTAAAACAAAACCATTCTGGAAGTTTTTTTTTTTAAATAATAATAGTGCGATAATCTTAAAAAATAAGGGCATTTATACATATACAACACCAAAATTTCTTTGTTTACATTTCTACAACCTAAATCTTTCATATCACATCGAAAGTACCTCCATCTTTTGATACGTAGGCAAGATGGTATTATGTAAAAAATTAGAGTTTAGAGGCTAGATACATAAATACAGAGAAATCGAATGGTATGCATGTAATTCTTCCTAACAAAACCAATTTAAAAAGTCAAATCATGTTGAGAGTTGGTTTCTGCCATGAAATAAAATAAACCCAGAAATCAGAGAGTTGTTTGTCGAAAGATCCATCAAAATTAGCCATACCTGAAACGTGACCGTAGATAGGGGATCCTTTTTGTCAGCGTAGATCTTGGAGCCCGGCACGGCAGCATGCAGCATGCACAGCAATGACTGCCACTGGTTATAACTTATTGAATCCCCCACAAACATCATCTTCTTCCCTCTCCATCTCATCAACAAATCCTTCCCATCAAACCTTCAAATAAAAAAACACTTCTTTCTTCATGACCATATTCCTTCCATCATTAAAAAAACAGTAGGACACACAATTATAAAAACTCTTAACCTTGGAAGCTCGCAAGTAATTGGCCGCCACCGATACTTGAGGTAGAGCTTATCAGGGCGGCCATACTTCTGGCAGTCGAACTCGGGGTCTATAAACGGGCAGTTCGCCGAGTCGTAGACGGGGTAGGAGTCGTCATAGATCCAGCTCCCATGGTAGAAATCGCAGCTCGAGCTGCTGGCTTGTGTTGTCCTGAGAGGAGAAGTCTGAGATTGAACACTATGGCAGGTAAGAAGAGAAGATAGGAGAATGAAGAGCTTGGTTAGAGATAGATTGGGGTTGTCTTGCATTGTTGTGAGAGATTAGGGAAGGGGAGGATGTTGTAATGGTGGAGACTAATTTGCTTTTGCAGTCTATATGGAGGAGAAGAAGAAAGTTGTGTTAAGTTTGTGCTCAATGAGGCTGTAGTTTATTTTGTGAGGATAAAGTTGTGGCTGCAAGTTGGGCTAATGGGACGAATACTATCCAAAAGGGGTGAGAGGTTCACGTGTGTAAAGTAGAGTGAGAAGGAGACTTGCCTAGAAGAGAGAGAAAAAAAGACATGGGTTCATTTTCAATGTACTTGGCTTTTAGTGAGTTTGTTTCTTTTTTTATCTAGTAATGATTGAGACAATAATAAAAAAGGCTGGGCATTTACATGCATATCACTTAGTTCCTATGAGTTTACATGTCTAACACTTAAATTTTACATTTTTACATTTATGCAAATAAAATATTTCATATATATATTTGGAACTGAGTGGTTTGAATGTATGAATGTATGTGATAATACTTTCTCATCCAGTTAGTATTAAGCTTCAATTCTGCATCAGTTTCTGAAGGAGAACCTGACATCAAATGATTCTTTTTAGGGCTTAAAACTTTGGGAGAGGAGTTGATTTATCTTTCCAAGTGTGCATGTCATGGCTCAAAAGCTCAACAAAAGTGCTCTCTTTTATTGAAGAAAAAGAAGGTTCTTTTGTAGGTAAAGGCTGTTACAAATCAATTAATTTTGGATGTCTTAAAATTTGGATCAAACGGACCAAATAATGTACAGAAAGAAGTCAAGACGAACAACAATTTGGTTTGGTTATTTTAGTTCAATTTGGATAAATTTAGATATTAATTGTGTAAAATATTTGTAATTATACATTATATACTTTTTGTTGCATAATTAATAAACAATAAGCATAATTAACAATGCATAATTTGAAAAATAGTTAGTTACATTTATGGAAGTTTGAAATGTTAGAAGTCAACAAAAAATGTAAATTGAGAAATGGGTTTTAACTTTTAATTCAATGTTATTTAGTCATTTTTCGCTTTATCCAAAACCACAATTCTCAAGAAAATTGGTTCTATTTGATTTTTAAGTTATAACCAAGTAATGTATGTCTCTACTTAGTAGAGCATGGAACTAATAGAATATTTTATTTTATTGGAGAGTCAAGTTTTCAAAAAGCTCTTTTTTAATTTTAGCTTTTATTCTATCGTTTTAAGGGATAATTTTAACCTTTTGTGACAGTCGTGCCTCATGAGAGTTATTCAAAGTCATCGAGTTTGTTGCTCATTACACAATGAGATATAGGGGTGTAAATGAACCAAACACGAACGAATAGAGCTCGTGTTCGGTTCGTTTGAAATAAACTCATGTTTAAAAATGCTTGTGAAGTTATTCTGTGTTTGGTTCGATTTGTTTAAAATATGCTTAAAATATTTAAAATGTTTGAATTGTTTGAATTATTCGAATTATTTGAATTGTTTAAAATCTTACATATTTGTTTGTATTGTTTAAATTATTTGAATTATTCGAAATCTTTCAAAAGCTTACATGTATGAAATTAATGCTTAAGCTGGTATGAATCACAACACAAATGCATAATAGTTGAAGTACAGCTCATAACAAAACCATAATATCATATCTCATCCATAAAAAAATTCACATCTAGCAACACTATGTGAGATTTAACTCCCAAAAGCTAAATAAATTAAAAGAAATACAAGCAAATTTAAACTAAGAGGCGAACTTGAAGGTCAAATTATAATTTATATGATTGATTTTTTAAAATATGTTAAGTTTTTAGAGTATATAATTATTTTTAAAAAATGATAAGTTTTTTTTTATATAATTATTTTAATTATTTTTTATTTCGAACAATAATGATTCGAAAATGATCGAACAAATGATTGTTCTTGTTTGACTATCTATAAACAAAAAAAAAATTTATGTTCGTCTCGTTTGCTTATCGAATGAATAGAACACAAACTCTCTAGCGAGCCAAATAAGAACTGTTTGCAAATAACAAGCTTTTTCGACTGCCCTAATGAGATGTTTCTCGGTTCTCTCATAGGCGGTGTTTTGTAGGATATTTTTAATGGGATTTAAATATGAATTTAATGTAAACTCATCAAATGTCAAAAGTAGGAGATAAATTCATCATTAAGTTAAATTCTATTTTTATTTGTTTCATTTATTAAATTTGAATTTATTAAATTTAGTTATTAATTGGATTTAATAGATTTAATTTGAGAAAAAAAACATTCAAATAGATTTATGTTAAACACATCAAATGAATTTAACCGAACTTAATTTTAATTAAATCAAACTATATTTCGAATTTAATAATATTTAAATTTAATAAATTTGGTAAATTAAATTCTATTCAATTTAAATGTTATTTTTTTGTTGACTCAACAGCAATAATTTTTTAGGGACTTATGATGGATTATAAGCGGGGCTTTATTTGTGGTAATTCAGGCCTAATAATGAGTTCATTCAGGCTTTGGGCCGAGGCGATATCATGGGTCGTGGATGACAAATTGAATCACCATTTCTCTTTCTCTCCCTATCTTACCCTCTTTAATGTAAATGTACTAAGAGTATTAACGCATTATGTGGATCGAGCAAACTAGAGGTGCAGCCCATTTACGATAAATGTTCCCAATTATTATTTGTAATTAGGGCTGAAAAAAAAATGTTTTTCGTATTTGATCGTGTTTAACATCATAATGGTTCGAGTTATATTAGGTTTTATAAACTCTTTTATTTAACAAACTAAATAAAAAGATCTCAATAGTTTTGTGCTTATATGTATGTGTGTGTGTGTCTATATATATATCCTTTTTGCTGTGTATCCCGGTCTGTAGGTTGACATCAACGGCAAGACCTCTCAAGCCGAGGGTTCAAATCCCCTTTAGCACATTTGACCCTAAGAAGGTGGTACTCTAATTGTTTGATACATTAGGGGTTGTTCGAGGCTCGTACGGTAGCCTATGGTCATTCCTTTTGACTCAGTGGTTGGTGTGTGTGTGTGTGTGTGTAGGTATATGTGTGTACATACATCTCACACACAAATATATCTGTGTGTGCGTGCGTGCCGCAAACCTTGGTCTTTTGGTGGTGGGGTCTTGTATATCCCCTCAAGCCAAGGGTTCGATCCCACCATAGTGCAAGGGCTCTGGAATATATGACACATTGTGCAGACACTTCATCGTAGGTGTCCGAGCGCAAAGTGGAAGCAGTATTCATAGTTGTTCGAGTGCAAAGTGGAAGCGGTATTTGGGGCCCATCGAAGTCAAATTATATATATATATATATATATGCATTGCAGCGTATGATCAAATTGCACACCTTTTGGAAGGGGGGTCCGCCGCTCGGTCAGACAATGGGGTTGGTCGGCGATCAACCTTTTTAAAAAAATATATATATGCGTTGCGTACTCAAATCAATTGGTCGGACAACTGCTTGTCAGTTCTAAGTTTCCTTTGGTCTGGGGTTCGATTCCCTCCTAGTGTAGGGTGTGGTGCTCGAATTATTTGGCTCATGTAGGATGGTCGAGGCTCATATAATAGCCTCCAACCATTCTTTTATAATATATATACCTTTGAGCCTACTTACATTCTGCTCTTTTTAATTAGTTAATAAATAAATCATGGTCCAAATATAAAGGTGAAAAGTGTCTAAATGGTTCTCAGCTTTTGCAGGTAGTTATTTAGTCCCACATACCCTTTAATTTGGGCTGAAATGCTCCTCATAAAAGATTATTTTAGCTTCTACTAAAAAAAGTGAATGACTAAATTAACATTGTTATGTACTCTAGGACTAAAATAGTACAATGTAAAAATTAGCATCAGTCTTTGTGAAGCCTCACTTTGGAGAGAATTGGAAAATTTAATGACCAGGAAATGATAATAATACTTCTTAGAAGGATATCAGTATTTAGTAGAGGCTGAAATATTGATCTCTCATGCGCTAGGCCCCATGACGAGAGCTCGCGCTATATGCCTAAATATTCGAGAACTCAGTGTCATTGGAGATCGAACCCGTGACCTAAGAGGACTTACAATGAACCCCGTCAACCAACAGGCCACGACTTATGATATATATATATATATATCAAAACTTTCATATTTATCAATCTGAGACCTAAACTTTCATAATTATATAGCAATAATTATTATCTTTTAATAGTCAAATCCATCTTTTCATCCATGGGTTAAGCGCTATGTGTGCAAAAATGAAAGTTTAGGTGTGAGATAGGTAAGTTTATAAAAATTGAGTGTTATGTATGTAATTTTTCATTGAATTCAAAGCTCGCGAAGAAAATGCTGAAAAGGGGAGTAGACAAGATTTTAGATGATAATTGTAGCAATAAGTCAATATATTTGACAAAAATATCAACTAATAACTTAATATTTCATTAGCAAAATAATAAAAATGCGTTTGATTGAAAAAAAGTCATGTTTATGTAAGGTGGCATGTATGTGAAAAATGTGGTATAGGTGTTAGATATGTAAATACATAAGAATTGAGTCTAATTTATGCAAATTTTTTAATTTTATGTTGAATATTCATTTATATTTGTCATGTAATTAAAAATCTATATGAAGGCTATTTAATTATAGCCATGATGCCATATTTCAGTGATAAATAAAGCTATTTGAACATAAAAGCCCTTTCAAATTTCATTTTTTCTATTATTTTATTTTCTTTGCTATTTTGTTAGAAGATTTACATACATACCACTCAGGTCCTACGTCTTTACATATCTGAGGTGTTAGAAATGTAAATACAAAGGAATTGGGTGGTATGTATGTAAATGCCCCAAATTTTCATAAAAGGTTAATAATGGTGATATTTTTGATGTGATATTAATGATTCGAGCATCATGCAAGTAAATATAAAGATTTGGGTGTTAGATATGTAAATAAAAGAATTGTGTGGTATCTATGTAAACGTCACCCAAAAATGCATTGTTAAATGCAACGGGCATCATTCAGCAACATTGTACTTGTAATTAAGAAGTGGCATGCAATTTTATAAACTTAGATACGTTGAATTTTAAGGGTTGGAATTCCAAGAATATAACTAATTTAATAAATGTAATATAAAAATATATATAAATATTCATATAAAGACTATCTATGCTCATGAGGTCATTTTGAAGTAATAAATTGAGTTATTTGAGCCCAAAAAAAATTAATTTTTTTTTTCATTTTATTTTTTTTATTTTTTTTATATGTGATTCTAATTGGCTCAAGGTGGCCAATTCGGGTCATATTGGGTAAAATGACCCAATTAATCAAATTATAATTTTGATTTGTTTTAATTTTTATTCAATTGATTAGAATTTATTTTAAGGGGTTGTTTATATTTTTCATTTTTATTAAACTGATGCATATATCGGTGCGATCATCAAATCATTGAGAATTTGATAAAAATGAAAAATATAGGTTCAGTTTATACCATGAATTTTGATATTTGAGTGAGAATTGGAAAAATGGATAAAAGAGGGTGGTTGATTTGTAAATATGAAGTTTGGCTATACATATCAAAATTAAGAATAATTAAAGTTTAATTGGCTCATCTCAAGCAATATAAATTCAATTCAAATCAAATTAAATGAATCCTAAACACAATTTAAACTAAATTTAATTTGTGATTATCTGAAATACGTATGAACATTTTATGCTTAATTATTACTTATGTAAGAAATTAAATGAGAATCTTTAATTATTCATGGGCTATTTGGAGATTTCACCAGATCTATATGTAATAAATCTTATGTGGGTATTACTT